ATTTTCGCAATCGCCAAGCGCCCCGCTAACGCCTTCTACTGGCGCACGCGACCGCGCCCACCAGAATGAGCAGCGCGTTCGGCGCGGCTCTTCTTCGGACTGGCGGTGCAACATCATGCTGCTCCTGTCGAGCACCATCTTACATTCTGGCGTGGCGCGGTTCCCCAGCGCCGTCTGCCTTACCGCAGGCGCCGCAACCGCTCCCGATACCGCACGCGACTCTGGGACTTCGAAATCACGCGCCGGCGTAAACCCATCGCAGACGCGCCCCACTGTCATAATTGAGAAACAATTCAGTTACACAGCGCGCCCGATCGTAGCGCCAATGTTCGGCGCTCCTCCATGGGGAAGCGAAGCTGACCGGCAAGTGTCGGGAAGAAAAATCTCGAGCTGTGCAACGACCACTCGGCGGTGTTTTCCACGCCGCCAAACACGCGCAGCACCCGCCTCATGATATTCAGCGCGCCCGAACATTTCTCGGGGCGCACGGGGCTCACAACGACAATCCTGCCAGACTCCACAGCCATCGCTGGGACGAAGACGTCCGCTTCCGCCAGATCCACGTAGCGGGCCACGGCGCCGTGGAACTGCCCGCCCCAGTCGCGCCCGCGCCAATCCCTCCGCCGAGCGGCCCACGGAACTTTGCCGATTTGCTTCTTTGACCTCCACGGTTCCCGCGCACACCGCATCCCGCAACAGATGGCAGGACGTGGGCCTCTGCAGGTCTGCCCTGCGCAGGCAACCAAACGTAAGCGCCGACACAAAACCAATAGCAAGTACCACTGCTGCGTCGCGAGCTTCGGCTGCCGTACATAAACTGCACAACGAGCCATCTACTAGAGGAAAAAGAACTATGCACATACACCGATTCTGGCCAGGCCCATCCTGAGCCCAGGATCGGTGCATACGCCCTCCTACCTTGGCCAGGAAGGCATATGCACCGATCCTGGGTCAAGGATGGGCCTTGCCAGGATCGGTGCATGTGCATAGTTCTCTTCGCCCGATCTACGACCGCCCTCGTTAGCGGGCTGGCTTGCTGCCGCTGCTCCTCCGTCAGCTTGCTCGACATGCGTCTCTGGGCCTCGACCAGCGGGTCATCCAACGGCCACGGGAATTGGAAGATTCCCCTCGCCCACAATAACGACGCAAAGCATGTTTTGGGCACTGATGGCCCCTACCGCTGGCGTCTCGGAGAAACAACGCGACATCCGCTGCATCCAGAGACCATGGCTGGAGTCCGGCCGCCTCCGCCCATTTCTGCAGCCGCACCAGGTTCCGCAGGTGGGACCGCACTGTCGCCGCTACGGAAGCCCTTCTGACCACAACCAGCCGCAAGAGAGCCGATTGATTTTCCCAACTGCGACATTCGACGGCCCACCCCCTGAGTCTCGGCGATGCGTCCCCAATGTGGCTGGCGAGCTCCAGAACTAACCCGCCTTGCCTGGCCAATTCTGCACTCTCTCGGTTTTTGCAGCTTTGTTCTGCTGTTCCGGCTTTGCGCCTCTTCATTCCAGGAAAAACACTTACCAACGGTAATTATCTAGAGCTGGACGCGGTCTGTGCCAGAGCTTGCAGAGGGCCGCGAAGGATTCGTTCTCCCCCGTCCAATGTTGCGCGAGCATGCCCCCTGACGGCCGCAGAAGCATTCCAATCTACTCGAGCATAAAACTCCCTGGCAACTGCCGGGCGACACTGGGCTTCACCGCCCAACTCAGCGACAGCGTCTTCTGAAGAATCAAACCAGCTATGCACTTTGACAATCGAATGGAGGTTTCTTGTTACCAGATACCGTTCCAAATCCAACGTCTCTGTTACACCTGTGGGCACACATGCTTGCAGTTTCGGCGACAAGACGGGCGAGAGTTCTGACATTGCTTGTTCCTTTGGCCTTACCACCAAGAATCCTTGACCCAAACTCGCCCTTTGGCCTCTGAGCCGAAACCCTCCGGAGAAGAAAGGGGAAGCCCAAGCGCCGCTCGCTGTCCTACGCGGCCCCCCTGGGATTGTTCACTCGCCCCCTCATCCAAATCCGCGCCACAGCAGTCGGAGGTACAAAGAGAAATGTGGACGCCACCGGCCCTGCCTACCACAAGCCTCCATCCAATAAGATTTCGTGGTGCGCGCGTCGCCCCTGGGGGGGGGCTACGCACACATAGTATTAATCAGTATGTTGGGGTGACGTCGATGCGGTGTTGAGACCGCCCAGGGCTTCTCGGGTGGGCCTGTTGAGGCAAGCCAGGACTACCTGGGAGACTGCCTGCGCGCAGTCCCAAGCCTTACACCGGCGGCGAGCGAGGGGGGGAAAGTGAGAAGGAGAAGGCCCTCCCAGAAGGCGGCGGGGCATCTCAGAAGACTTCCCAGGAGGCCGGGGGACTTCCGAGCCTTCTGAGAAGGGCCGCCCCTCCTCGCTTCCCCCCCCGGGCTGGCCGCCGATGCCCACGGCCCAGACAGCCGCCGACCCGGTGTGTTCCACCCGCGGCCCCTGGGAGGCTCCGCCCGCGTCCCCGGGCGGCAGCGAGACCCGGGCCCTGGGCCCACTCCCTGGCGGCCCTTCGAGGGCCCGAGGCTCGGGCCCCCAGAGGCCGGCAGCCGAGGGGAAACGGGCGGTCGAACGAGCCCCACCGTCGGAGGAGGGCAGCCCCCCCCCCCTCCTGGCGCGGCGCGGCCACGCCTCTCCGCGGGCGACGGGCCTCCCCCAGAGGTCTGGGCCCCTCCCCAAGGACCGGCGCTTCCCCCAGAGCGGTGTTCTGACAGCCCTGAGGCCCGGGACGGGCCCCCAGAGGCCGACAATTGCGAAACACCTCCCGCCTCGATCTCTGTCACGACGCGAAGGGGGCTAGCATGGGACACCAGAGACCACTGCTGCGAAGGGCCACCCTCCTCCTCCTCCTCCTCCTCCTCCTCCTCCTCCTCCTCCTCCTCCTCCTCCTCCTCCTCCTCCTCCTCCCTCCTCCTCCTCCTCCTCCTCCTCCTCCCCCCTCCTCCTCCTCCTCCTCCTCCTCCTCCCCCTCCTCCTCTCCTCCTCCTCCCCCCTCCTCCTCCTCCCCCTCCTCCTCCTGACGCGCGCCCGCCCCTCTCCTCGGGGGGCGCCTCGCTCGCCACCGGCGCGGCCTCCGCCGGCCCCGCCGGGTCGGACCAGGCCGTGTCCGGCGGGGGCGCGGCGCCCTCGGCGGGCGGCGGCGCCCCCTCCGCCTGGCGAGGGCCCTCCCTGCGTGCCACCTTCGGGCGGGCGGCAGGCGGGCGGGGCGGGAAAATGACCGCAGCCTCCTCCCTCCTCCCTCCTCCCTCCTCCCTCCTCCCTCCTCCCTCCTCCCTCCTCCCTCCTCCCTCCTCCCTCCTCTTGTTTGCGCTGCCTTCCAGCCGGCCGAAGCAGAAGCAGTGGTTGTGGTCATTTCCCTGGTGCCAAGCTCCACGAAAATGACCACAACCACTGCTGGGACGCACAGAGACATACTAATACCATATGTCCGCCTTGGAGGCGCGCGACCGACCCGAACATAGAGTATACCCATCTTGTAGTATGTCGTTTCTCGAGCGGTGTGGCCAGAAAGCGCCCGCCACGACGCATATACTATAAGATTTCTCGGTGCGCGCGTCGCCCCTGGGGGGCGACGAACACATAGTATAAGTATCTGCTTCTTGTTTGCACTGCCTTCCAGCCGGCCGAAACAGAAGCAGTGGTTGTGGTCATTTCCCTGGTGCCAAGCTCAACGAAAATGACCACAACCACTGCTTTGTTTCTGCGGGCTGGAAGGCGGCAACAAAAGAAAAGCAGTGGCTGTGGTCGTTTTCACGCCCCGTAAGGAGGGCATGTGCTCCCTCGCGGCCAGACCCTGCGCTACCAACCCAGACATGATCGCGTCGAGCAAAAGAAATCAGGACGGGAGGTGTTGGGCCATTCTCGGCCTCGGGGGGGGGAGGGGAAAACGACTCGGGACGAGAAACTGGTCCCGGGGAAGGGGTCGGGACTTCCGGGGACGCCGTCCTGAAAAATCAAGACGGCGCATGTCTGGGTTGCGTTACCCCTCGGTCGGAAAACGTAGGTAGAAGCATGAAGTAGGAAGGCGTCGAAAATAGATTGGGTGTCCGCCCGCCCCCCAAAGAGGACGGAAAAGGCGAAGCCCTTCGACATTGAAGCAAGAAGGCACTTAAAGTAGACTGGAATCTGGGACCCCAAAATACCTACTTTCAACGACCGATGGGTAGGGGGGGGGGGGCGGGAGGGGGCATGACGTAGCGCCCCCACCCCAGACTGTGGTGCCGCACTGCGGGGGGGAGCGTTACATTTTGGGGGGGAGAGGGAGAGGAGAGGAGGGGACATAACGCGCGTTATGGCCCAGAGGGTTTTAACAAAACAAACTCTCCAAAGGGGGGTGACCTACATTTGGAGTGAAAAGCACGAAGCTGCAACGGAGGCAGAAATCGCAAAACGGAGGTTCTTCCGTGGACACTCGGCCTCTATCGGGGCCCTCGCTGGGCCCCCGGACCGCGACAACAAAAAACGGCTCGGGAGGAAGAGCCGGACCCTGGGAACAGGTCGGGACTCCCTTGGACCCCGCACGGAAAAAAACAAGACGTCGGATCTCTGGGAAGGGCCCCTTCGGGGCCCTCTTCTTCACCCGCCGGACGTCTAGGTCAACCCCCCCCAACCATCGGGGGCGGCTACGAGGGGGGCGTCCAAGAGGGGCGGGGGCACAAATCATGGCCGGCGACATGTGCGCGGTCCAGGGGGGGGGCAGGGACGTAATGAAGTAAGAAGGGGCGCCATGAAATCTGGGGAAATATCCTGGCCCACGTCATGATATCCACCCCCCCCATGTCATCACCCCCCTCTTGGCCGCCCCCGATACCGCCCGCCCGACACCTCCTGCTGCAGCAGCTCCCGGTACCTCTCCGCCGCCCGGGCGATCTCCTGCTCCTCTCGGCGGCGACGCGGAGGGGGGAAGCGAAGTCGGAGGAGGCCCTCCCACGGGGCGGCGGGGCTCCTCAGAAGCCGCCCTCCGGCCCTCTGAGAGGTGCTCTGCGTCTGCGGCGAGGGCTCCGAGAACTTCCCGGAAGGCGAGGGGGGCTTCCGAGCCGGCTGGGAAGGCCCACCCCCTGCTCTCGCTTCCCCCCCCCCCCGGCTGGCGGCCGATCCTTGTCCCGCTGCAGGGCCGCGGCCGCCTCCACGTCGCGCTTCAGCTGCTTGACGTTTTTCTCGCGCTCCCAGAGGACCTGCTCCCGGGACTTCAGCTGCGACTCGCGCGCGCTGCTGAAGGTCGAATACAGCTTGTCGGTGATGATCTGCCCGAGGTTCTTCGGGTCGTCCACCTCTTCCGCGACGCCAGGGCCTCGTGGATAGCCATAGCGGTCATTGATAGAAGCAAACTCTGCGCCATTGCTGTACACGATGGCAGAGCAGCGCTCTAGCACGCTTTGCAACGTGGCAGTGAAGGTCGCGAGTCGAATGCCCTCCATGGTGGGCTTCGTGTAGCAGGAGACCCATATCTCCGCGGAGTACTGCCCAATGGAGCGCCATCGGACAAGCCGATGTTGCACCGTGTCGATGTCCTCGTGGCTGTTGATCATCTCTTGCATCTCCTGCACGATCTTCGGGATCTTAGGGATGTCCCGCATCCTCAGCGGCAGTTCGAAGAGAACCCGCCTGTTAGTCATCCTGGAGTTGTTCTGCACGTTCATCGACATCAGCTTGAAGTTTGGCACATACATGGGGCGCTTGTCCCATTGAACCACCTTCGTGTAGAAATTGCCGACGTCCTGTACCCATCCATCTATGTCGCCGCCCTCGAGGGTCACCCAGTCCCCCTGCGCGAAGGGCTGCGTCAGGTGGAGGATCACGCCGCTGATGATGTTGGCGACGATCTCCCTGCCCACCCAGCCGAGGACCACCGCAGTGATGGACGGAAACAGCAGCACCCGCCCCACCTGCACCCCCAGGGCCCAGAGCACGACCACGGCGTAGACGGCCCAGACCAGCACCTGCAACGCCACCTTCAGGGCGTTCACCTGGGCCTCCCGCAGGCTGGACTGGGACCCCAGGAAGTCCGAGGTCTCGGCCCTGCCGCGGGAACGGCGGTCTCTCCACGCCGAGATGAAGCTGTGCGAAAAGAGGGCCAGGCTCGTGAACGCGACCAGCTGCGACAGCTTGCCGCACCAGGCCTCGAGCGGCAGGCCGCCCTTCGGGGGCACCGCCAGGAAGCGGCCCGCCAGGCACAGGCCGGCCTCGGAGGCCATCCGACCCCAGCCGTAGAACACGAGCGGCCCCTCGGCAATCCTCAGGATGCTGGTGAAGCTCGCCCAGATGCGCTCATAGCGGAGCGGTCCCGCGTCGGCGCGGCTCGGCGGGCGGTAGCGCAGCCGCACTGGCGGAGTGGCCGCCGCCAGGTCCTCGGGATGCGCCAGGATCTCGGAGCCCTTTGGCAGGAGGCAGGAGCTCAGCTCGACCGGCTGCCCCAGCCGGCTGCTGCTGGACAGGGCCTCCCTGACCAGCAGCAGCTCCTCCGCGGTGGCGATCTCCGCGCGCTGGGTGTTCATCCGCAGGTAGTTCCTGCGGAGCACGGCCCACGCGCGGGGCACGAAGCGGAGCTGGAGCACCGCCAGCATGGCCAGCCTCACGGGTACAGAACCCAGGTGCCCCAGGCTTCCCTAGGCCCTACCCAAGGCCCTAGCGTAGCCTAGGGTATGCCCTGCCCAAGGCCCCAGCGCAGCCTAGGGTAGGGCCTACTCAAGGCGCTAGGGTAACCTGGGTCGGCCCAGGTAAGCCTAGGGAAGCCTAGGATGGCCGAGGCAAGCCTAGGAAGATCTCGGCAAGCCTAGGAAAGGCCTAGGAAGACCTAGATAGGCTCAGCAAAGGCCTCAAGGCCGTGCGGCTCCAGCCGCGGGAGCAGCCGAAGCTGAGGTTCACCCCAGCCGCGCCCACGCGCAGCCGCCGCGACCTGGCCGAAGCTCTCAGAGAGGGCGCGCAGAGAGGCCTCGCCGACGACGACAACGACGACGACGACGACGACGACGACGACGACGACGACGACGACAACGACGACGAAGACGCCGACGCCGACGCCGACGCCGACGCCGACGCCGACGCCTATGAAGACGCTGACGCCGACGCCGACGCCGACGCCGCCGCCGCCGCCACCGACGACGACGACGAAGACGACGATCACGATGGCCGCGACAACCACGACGATCACGACGACGACAATCACGACGACGACGACGACGACGACGACGACAACGACCATGACCACGACCACGACCACGACCACGACCATGACAACGACCATGACCACGACCACGACCACGACCACGACCACGACGACCACCACTACCACAACGACCACGAACACGACCACGACCACGACCACGACCACGACCACGACCACGACGGACGAAGGCGGCGGCGGCGGCAGCGCGCGCGCTCGCCGGCGCGCGCCGCCCACGGCCCTGCAGCGGAGGCCCCTGCAGACGGCCTCCGGCCGCATCCAGGGCCGCACGGCCAGCCGGCGGCGGCCCGCGGCGCGGGCGGCGCGCCCGCCGCGCGCGCCGGGGGCTGCGCAAGCCACGGGGCCCGCGCAGCCCCGCGCTGCTCGGGGCCATCGCCGCCGCGCCCCAGCGGCGGCCCCTCCCCGGCCCACGGCGCGGCCGCGGGCCGGGCGCGCGGCGAGCGGCCGGGGCGCGGCCGGAGCCTCCATGGCTGCGGTCGGCGGCGAGCACGCGGCGGCCATCGGCGGGCGCCCCGCCCGGCAGAGGCAGGGCCGCCGCCGCCGCCGGCGGCGACGCCGACGCCGACGACGGCCATCGGTGGGCGCCACGTCGCCGACGCCGGCGCCGACGCAGGCGGCCCTCGGCGGGCGCCTCGCCCAGCAGAGGCAGGGCCGCGGGCGCTGGCGGCGGCGGGGGCGGCGGAGCCGGCTCGGCGAGGCCGGCGCGGGCCGCGTCGGAGTCGAGGACGACCACGGCGCGCCCGAGGAAGAGCGCTCGGGGGGGGGGCTCAGTCAGCATCGGATCGGCGAAGCGGATCGAGTCAAGACGTGCATCGGATCGGGCTGCGTCGGCACGGAATCTGAATTGGATCGGATCGGATCGGCTGCGCCAGGATACACAGCAGCACCATGCAAGCATCGCTCCGCCTCCGATCGTCGGAAGGTCAAAATCGAATCGGATCGGGCGGGCCAGAATCGATACCGAATCGGATCGGTCGGATCGAGATGGACCCTGGAGGGGGTGGCGCAAGGGGGGCGGCCTTCTCACAAGGTCTTCTGGGAGGACAGGAGGGCCTTCTCAGAAGTCCTCCTTGCTTGCCTCGAAGGGGGCTTCTCACAAGCCTCCGGGCCCTTCTGAGAGGGCCCCTGCCTCCTACGAAGCCGCCCTCGCCTCCCTAGAATGGCACTCCCGCCGCGCCACCTCCCGGTGCGCGCCGCCCACTCGGGAAGCCGTCGCCGAGAGCTCTTGCCCGCTCGAGGCTCTGGGCGTGGGTTGGCTCTGATGAGTCGGCGAGCGCGCGTGAGGGGCAACGATAGGGGGGGGGGGGGCGACTGACGACCTACCAGACCATCCCAAGCCAACCCGAAGACCCGAATTTCGGGTTGGGGGGGGGCATGGGCTCCATGTGTGTTTTTGTCGATGTTCCCCGACCACCCCCCCATGGAGGGCAGATTGACGCCTTCGGGTTGGCTTGGGGTGGTTTGGTGGCTGGTGAGGGACTGGCATTTTTTTGATTCGCGGGTCGAGAGCGCACCTCTTCCGGTCGAAGCTAAGCGGGCCGCGCGAAGCTTTAAGTAAACAGAGATGGGGGAGGAAAAGGGGGGCGAAGCCTCAGAACGAGGCTGGGAGGAGGCAAAGCCTCGGAATCAGGCGGTGCCGAAGCCGAGGACTCGCACAGGGATGCATCGCCGATAGATCGGCGACAGGCCCCCGGTGGTGAACCCGCACGTTCCTGGGCAGGTCGGGCCGTTCTCGCTCCCCCCCGGTGCTCGCCGCCGATTCCCACGGCCCCACGGAGGAGGAGGAGGAGGAGGAGGAGGAGGAGGAGGAGGAGGAGGAGGAGGAGGAGGAAGGAGGAGGACGAGGAGGAGGAGGAGGAGGAGGAGGAAGGAGGAGGAGGAGGAGGAGGGAGGTCCCAGGGAGGTCCCAGAGGGAGGTCCCGACCGCTTCCCAGGCGGCAGCGGCTCGGGCCCGGGGCCTGGCCCCAAGCGGCCCGAGCACGGGCCCCCGGAGGCCCAAAGCCGAGGAAGCACGGGCGCGGTCGAACAGGCCCCGCCGTCGGAGGAGAGCGCTCCTCCCGCCCCCTTCGCGAGGCGCGGCCGCGCCTCTCCGACCCCCGACGTCCTGAACTGTGCACCGCGCCGCTCCCCAGAGGCCTCGCGACCCCTTCCCCAGGATCGGCGGTCCACCCCGACCCAGACCCCCGACGTCATGATTTTTTCATTACGTCGACCCCTGGAGGTCTCGACCCATTCCCCGGGACCGGTTTTGCATCCTGAGTCGTTTTTTCACGGTCCCGAGGGCCGGTAAGGGCCCCCAGAGGCCGAAAAGAACCAAAAACCTCCCGTCATGATTTTTGTCATTCCCCGAGGGGGTCTGGGGAGCCGTTTCTCTTCTTCGATCCCAGGGCCCGGCGGCGGCCGCCGGACCCAGACGCCGACGTCGTGGATTTGTGCTACAGGCGCCGACCCGCGGAGGTCCGGACCCCCCTCCCCCGGAAACCGGCTTCTCCACACGGAGGCCAGACACGAAGAGAAGAACCTCCCGTTGCAATGTTTCTCCCACGCGAGGCGATCCGAGGAGGCCGAAAAGAACGAAACAAGGAAACAGGGCGGTCGAGATCGTTCTGTGACGGCCAGGCCCGTCGCGATGTATACCCCACGCGAGGGTCCGAGGAGGCCGAAAATAGCACAACAAGAGAACAGGCCGGTCGAGATTGCTCTGTCACGGCCCGAAGGGCCCCCTCGCGAAACGCGGACCCGCGCCTCTCCGCGGGCGGCAAACCTCCCGCCGTGATTTGTCGCCCGCGCGAGAGGGTCCGAGGAGGCCGAACATGGCGAAACAAGGAAACAGGCCCGTCGACCCCAGCCCAAGCCCCAACAGAGCCCCAAGAGGCTCCCAGGAGAGCCCCAAGAGAGGCTCCAGGGCGTCGGGCGTCGTCGTCGTCGCCGCCGCCGCCGCCGCCGCCGCCGCCCCCCTTCGGGGTCGGCGCGGCGCCGGCCGCTGGGCCTGTGCCCGGCGCAGGGGCATGCACCATATCGTGCGCGTTCGTTCCTCGCCTGGGACAACTGCCTCCGGCCTGCGCACGCCCCCTGCCATTGGGTGGCTGGGGGGGGAGGGAGGAGGATAACGATAACGATCACGATACCCAGACCCCCGACGTCATGATTTTTTCATTACGTCGACCCCTGGAGGTCTCGACCCATTCCCCGGGACCGGTTTTGCATCCTGAGTCGTTTTTTCACGGTCCCGAGGGCCGGTGAGGGCCCCCAGAGGCCGAAAATGACCAAAAACCTCCCGTCATGATTTTTGTCATTCCCCGAGGGGGTCTGGGCAACGAGGAACGATGGCGGCACTGCCGCCTTGGCCTTCCCGATAACGACACGAGGAGGCAGACCGGTCGAGAGCTGTCTGGCGGCGGCCAGGGCCCCCCCCCCGCGAGGCGCGGGCCCCGCGCCTCGCCGCGGGCGGCGCGCGCGGCGCGCGCGCGGCGAGGCGCGGCGGGGGCCCCGCTCTCCGACGGGCGCCCTCGCGTCGAGGGCTCGCCCACGGCCCGGGCGGCGGACGGCCCGAGGAGGGTCGAGGCGGAGGGTTTTGTTCGTGCAGTGTTCGGCCTCTCGGCTGCGGTCGTCTTAAATAAATACACACAAATAAAGATATCTATGCTTGGCGGATTCCTGGGCGCCAGCCTTACAGATTCACAGCACTTTTGCTCCAGACCGACCATGCTGACAATCTGTGTGATTGCGGCCCAGAGCCGCTCGCATCTAGATGCCTCAGCCTCGCAGAGGTTTCCACCGCGAGGCAATCACAACTCCAGTGCAAGTGTAGAAAGGCTCTAACAGCAGGGTGGGACAAAGGGGGACCGAGGGGGGGAAGCTTGAGCATTGATGCAACAACGGTCGCAACGGCGCCCTCTCATCCTAACTCGCAGAGAACACCAGGCACGCCAGAGCAATCTATGCTTGGCGGATTCCTGGGCGCCAGCCTTACAGATTCACAGCACTTTTGCTCCAGACCGACCATGCTGACAATCTGTGTGATTGCGGCCCAGAGCCGCTCGCATCTAGATGCCTCAGCCTCGCAGAGGTTTCCACCGCGAGGCAATCACAACTCCGAACCAGAAAGCAAACACTGAAACTTTGCGAAACTCTCACACTGGCCGTCAGGCCACATATCTAGTTAAAATACAGAAAGCTTTATTCCGCAACGCTTGTTTGTAGGCTCTACCAAGCTCCACGCAGAGCCCTCTGGGATACGGCTCGGCGATGTGGGTGAGAAATCGCCCAGTACTGTCTTTTCCTTCAAGCACCCTGCGCGGGCACCTCGAAAAACTGCAAACGCCGCGGCCTTGGCACTGGGCCCCTTTGAGCCCGGCAAGGTCGAGATGACAAAACCGAAGGCGGGTTCGTTTACGCCACGGGGTTCCGAAAGCGCAAAAATCGACATCTAGATCGAGCACGTTACTGGAACGGGCGAGCGTTTTGGCCCCAGGGAGACTCCAAAGCCAAGAGGTCGAAGGATTCTCGATAACTACAGGGACTCTAAGGGATCTGCACAGGGAAAAGAGGCCAAAGCTGAAACGGGCTAGACGGTTACCACGGGCAACCTTCAGACAGTCGGCGGGATTCAGGTGAGGGAGTCCGAGGGGGTGCTCAGCGTCTCGAAGCGGCGGAGGTCCATTAGGCCGATTACGAGCCCGCGACATTGACTGACACGGAGTAGCTATCCACACACCTAGGAGCATCTTGCTTCGTACCCAGCCCCTGATCAACTTCTGAATTTTGCTAGACAAAACATCGGCAGCAGCGTCATGAATAGTGTCCAGTTCGAAGCAGGCGAGACCCTTCAGGACTAACCGAAACGATCGAGAGAGGTTGCCGCTTCCACTGAAAACTTCCAACATCACTTGCTGTCCAGATTCGTTCACAAATCGAGCTAGGTCGCGCAGAGGACGGCGCCAATCGCATCGAGGCTTCGCTTCGCGATGCCCTGAATGTGGCGAGGGAGCACGTTCAACTGTTCTTGAACCCGTCCTCCCTTGGCGCACCGCCTCACGGCCTGATCCGTGGCCCACCGACCTCTCTTTTTAACCTCGTCTTGGGTGTGGGCCCGCACCAGCAGCTCGTCCGTGCCTGAGCTGGCGAAGGGTCAGCGGCAGCAACGGCTGAAGACCACTGTCTCTGGCCGCGGCGGCAAACTTGGCGTTCCACTCGCTGTGCGACACGGGAAAGAGCGGGCTGTTCCTGGGACGCTCGCGCAGCAGCTTTTGGAAGAGGCCCGGTAACCAAGGGAAG